AGCGGCGTTAACAAACCAAATCATGGAATCATCTGGTTGGAAGAGACCCTCAAGATCATTGAGTCCAACTGTTCACCCTGCACTGTCAGGGTCCCTAAACCATGTTCCTCAAATCTTTGAGTCTCCCAAGTAGTGCAGGAATTACCTGTGGCTGTCCTCCTTGTGCCAGTATCTGTTCAGTGCTGGTGGGTGAGCTTTTGTGGCATGTTAGCATATATCCAGCCACGACCTGTTGCGATGTTGCCTGTTCCCTGGTCGCACTACATGCCACGCTTCAGTTGATTTTGATGACGTACCTATGTGGAGAGCAGGTCGGATGGGCAGACCTTTCCTCTTGCCATGGTTCAGTCCCAAACTGTTTCAGCAGTGAGCCTGTGTGAGGTAGCAGGGGGAAATACAGCCAGCGGGGAATACTGGACCCTAATGCATCAACTCTTGTCATCACCGCCGTAAGCAGCTGGGAGAGCTTAGTGGTCACGAGTTTTGGATGTGTCAGTAATGGGAGCAGTGGGCTTTGGGGTATCGATCCCTAAGTGACTAGAGCCAGGATTGCTGAGCACGGGAAGGGGGCGGATTAGAAAGCCCTGTGTTACCATGCACAGGGCTGCGTGCTGCCCCACTGGCTCTTTGGCTGTGCTCGCTGCTGTAGGGAAGCCTCAGACAGACCTCTTGGGCTGGGAGTTACGCCCTGGTCTGGGGGGATCCGGAGACCTGCTGTTTGTTCTTCTCCTCATCCCAGAACTGCCTGAAATGAGATCCTGAGGTGATCAGGGAGCACAGAGCCAGCCCATGGGAATCGCAGAAGCTGCACGGCCAACACACTGCTGGCAAGTGAAGGGAAGTTTTGGGGTGTTGTCCCCAAAGAGGCAGAGGGATGGGCTGATCCAGTGGGTCCCCTCTGTCCTCTGATCCTTGTTCTGTTTGGTTTGTCACACTGCCAGCCCGTGGGGCCCTTTGCTTCCCTCCTGCGTTTAACTGGAGCGGTGTCCGCGACGATCGCATGGTGGGTTCATCTTCTGTGGTTAGTTTAAAGTAGAAGAGCCAGTGAAAGTTTTACTCTGTTCTTCCAGTTAAGGAGAACTAATCTGCGTTTTTAGCTGGAAATAGCATCTCCTCTGTCCATCCTTTTACTGGAAACCATTCCATTTGAGTCTTACGATCTTGCAGTGGGTCCTTGCTCCCAAAGGACCTGCACTAGACATCGGTGATTCCATCAGATCTTAAATTTAAGCCTGGTAAACCTGAATTAATTGTAAAGCTCCTTTTTTTTCCCTCTTGGCATTCAGCTGGTCTACGAGCATGGTCATTCCAGTATGCCCTAGCATGGATGCAAATTCCGCAGTCTTTGGGAATGTTTCTTCCCATGTGAGAGCAGCTAGCTTGGTCTAAGCTGTTTTCATGACACAGAAATGCACTGATGGTTCGGCTTTACTAACCAGTATGGTTAACGTGGGACAGCTTTGTAGTGTGCTGGCAGAACGGCTCATCATGCTGCCGTCGGTGGCTGGAGACCTTGGGACAAAGCTCAGCCTTGCCAGGGGTGTTCTCCCCGGGCAGGGGGCACCAGGCTCTGTGCACTGTGAGGTCTCTGCTGTGAGCTGCCGCTGGACTCCGAGTCCATCTCTCTGCGGTGGTGCCATGGGCAGGAGAAGTCCTGTCTCTCTTTTGCAAGACAGAAGGAGCAAAGTAAGGCAGCATCACCCAAAGCTGGTGGGTAAACCCAGAAATGACCAGCAGCAAGAGTCCTTTCTACGTGCTTCTGGGGATCATGTTTGGATGCAGAATACCGCTGTATTTTCCTTTAGGGGCTGGATCTTCCCAAGCTCACCTGTCTGTGCCCAGATACCATCGACCTGCGTCAGCCCAGCAGGGCCCTCCCGGTGGGGCGTGCTCTGGGCTCCCTCCCTCCTGCACGGGTGGGTGCTGCTCAAGGAAAGTGCCTCTTTGCAGGGGTGCTGCCAGCTGGCTCCTGAGAGCATGGGTCCTCTCCACTTTGCCGTGCGAGGGATAGGATCTGGGCTCCTTTGCTTTGGCCACCTTCCTTTCGAGAGGCAATACTGCAGCGTCGTCCGTGCCAGAGCGGTGAGCGATGTTCTGGGGTAGCTCCTGACCCAGCGTGGAGGGGAAGCCCCCCACGGAGCTCGCTGGCAGAAATGGGCTGGGGTGGGTTTTGTGCTTCTCACATTAAGATAAAAGAAAGCACAGGAGAAACGGCTTCTAAGAGGCTTAAAAGCAACAGGCTTTCTTTTCCTCCTGGGAAGGGCACGCAGCCAACATCTTGCTCTTTACGGATCTTTCTTAATAAGCAGAATATTGCATTGAGAGTGACCAAGTCTGCCAAGAATGAGCAGAACGGCTCTGCAGCTTCTTTCATCCCAGCGTGCGCGTGGCTCGGCGCCCTCGGGCCTGCCGCTCCCCGCTGGTCAGGGCTGCAGGATGAATTGCTGGCTGAGGCTGGGGCTGTTGCTTCATCTGGCGGGTGTTTCTTCAGCGGTCGGTGGAGCACGTGGGTTGGATTCCCGTGGTCTCTTCGTCTCCTGAGTTTTCTCGCCAGCTGCTTTGATGGCGGGGGGAGTAAGGCTGGGGAGTGTTGAAGGATGTTACGTTACGGGAAGGCAGCGTCTGAGCGGTCCCGGGAGGAGATCTGTTTATTTGACAAGCTGTGGGCTCGGCTGGCCTGCGAGGGCAGGGAAAGCTCCCAGCAGGCTGGTGTCCCCAGGTAAGGACTCGGGGATGCTCCGCTCGGGCTGACCCTGCAGGCGTGGGGAGAGGACGATCCAAGGCTGCTGGGTGCGCAGGGTGGGTTGGTTGGCTACTTCCAGAAGAATAAGTCCTCCTTTTCTTTACATCCCCTGCGAAGCTAAAAAGAGTGCGGCCCAATTTGTAGCTTTGTAGGTCAGCAAAGGAGAAGGAGGGCTCTGCAGCGCGCTGCGCTCCGGGTGCTTTCCTTCCTGGAAGGGCTCTGTGCCGTGGCAGCTGTGCCGTACCCGCTGCACGGGCCGGCTCTCCATCCCCTGCCTCTTAAGGAAGAAATCGGAGAGAAAAGCAGGAGGCAGATGACCCCCATCCACCCTTGTATCACACTTGGAAGCTGTATGTCTGCAACGTGCTGCTTAAGGCCTCTGGGGAGGGATATTAATACGGACATCCTGGGGGGACCCTGTGCCAGTCCAGGCTTTGCTCATCTCGGGGGGTAGCAGCAGGCTGCTCCGTGATCAGCAATGGGTAACGGTTCTGCTCCTCTGCAGACTCGTGACCTCCTTAGATTTCCTGCCACCTTGCTGGAGGCTGCTGGGAGGCCTTGGCTTCCCTTGGCCCAGCAGCCTCGGTGGAGGCGGCAGCGCCCCGCAGGCACTTCTCCGGGCACACCTGCAGTGCAGGCAGGACTGGGGCAGTGCTCACTGCCTGGCTTGGTGCCCGCGGAGGCTTGTGCCATGCCGTGGAGGTTGGCGTGCCCCGGTGGGTTGCTCAGCATGTGGCGTTGGTGCCGGAGCCAGAGGGAGCCTCGCTGCCTCTCCTTCCTGAGCAGTGACCCCAGCGGGGTGCTGCCCAGCTCTCTGGGGCTGAGCAGGCGGTTGGTGCCTCGCCAGGGCTGCAGGGCAGCCTTGCTGCTCGTGCCTGGGCGGGTAGTGTGGCGGCAGTGCCTGCTGCGGCCATCTCTTGGGGTCCAGAGCCACCTTGGTTGTCCCCGTGGGATTTTTACAGGCTGGTTGTAGCCTGGTGTGTTTTTTGTGCTCAGTTGGGGGCTGCTGGAGTGGGACCTGTGGGACTGGCTAAGAAGGCACCGTCCTCGCAGCATGCTGACCTGCCTCGAGGAGAGCAGGAGACCAAGGGGAACGGGACGAGCAGGGCCACGTTTGCTCCTGGCCCATCAGGGACAAAGGATGGAGGGTTTGGGCAGCTGCTCAGACCCCATGGGGAGCTCCTAGCGCAGCTCCCTGGGCTCTGCCAGCAATGTCACTGTGTCCCATGCCTGATGGCAGCCTTCCCAAGCACCGACTGAACAGCCTCACGTTTGTATTTCCCAATTTAGTCACGTCCCACCAGATACAACTGAGCCAGAGTAAACAGGGAAATCAGTTTTCTTGATGCTGTTGCACTTCCTTGGTGTTCCCAGCGTGTCAGCAGGGGCTTTTCCACGTGCCGAGGACACGTAGCCTCGTGCCTGCCATCGAGGGGGCACACGTAGGGACGTTCCAGCCCAGAGCTGCTCTCCCCACACCTGCGCCGGGGAGGGGACGGGGTTTGGTGTGGTGGCCAAGGCAGCGCCACGGCAGAGGCTCCTCTCCATCGCTGTAACTCTCTTGCTGTCTCCTTTCCCACAGATCCGGTGGGGTAAGACAGTTTCCCACCCCCCCCCACTCAGAGGACGTGTTTTTCTCAGCTCTGCCGAGGCCTCTGAGCACCTCGTTGCAAGGAAGAGGACAGGTAAATTTTACCCCAGGTAAAATAATGTCTCCAGCTGTTAAGATGGTCTCGCCTCAACTCACTCGGTGAGAGCATTTAGAGACGCTCGCAGTGGGGTCGCACCCTCCACCCCTGAGTTTGTGCTTCAGGCTCAGGGGGTTCTGCCTGGCCTTCGGGGCACAGCGTTGCACGTCACTCTGCTGGCTGGAGCTGGGGGGCTGTGGGCAACGTGGGCAGCTCTTCCCCATTGTTGGTCCTGTAACGCTGCAGCTGAGGTGCGTGGCAGAGCGGCCTCCAGCCCAGGACTGCCCTGGCACATGGGCAGTGCAGCCAAGAGCCGCACGGATGAGCTGTGCACGTTACAGGGGAAGATTTGCTGCCTGGGGTGAAGCTTGTCCAGCTTCGGGGCCATGGCTGTGTTCCTGCCCATGGAGGGGCTGAGGCCAGTGCAGGGGTGGCACCAGCCCCCAACCCCTCCATTACCTGCCAGCTCCGTTCCCAAGCATGGCACGGCTCCGGGTGGGTGCCCACGTGCAGCCAAAGGCTGGTGTCTCTTCAAAAAGGCTTCTGTCCATGCAGGGCCGCCCTGAGCCATGTCCAACGACCCTCCGCCACCCTACCCGGGAGGCCCCTCGGCACCGCTGATAGAAGAGAAGCACGGCCCACCCCCCGCGACAGGTACTGGGGGGGATCCCAGCTGCTCTGGGGTGTTGGGGTGACGACATTGCCGAGTGGGCAGGAGCCAAGCGTGGGTTCCCTGGGAGAGCCCGGGCCGTGGCCTCTCCTTGCAGCTCTGCCCTGCAGCGTGCAGGGCGCTGGGGACGGTGCTGCGCTGCCCGGCTCGGTGTCCTTGTCATCCGCCGGGAGGCAGGAGGTCCCAGGGAAGTGAGGAGAGCAGAAAGCACTCCTTGCTCAGAGCCCAGGTAATATGGGGTGAACTGGGGCTTCTTGTGGCCCAGAGGACAAGGCTTGGGGGGGGTCCCTCCCACCCCATGTCATGTCTCCCCTTCCCTGCTGGGACCGACCCCCCAAGACCACTCAGCCAAGCCCCCATCTCCCATCAGCTCTGCCGCCTCCTGCCCTGGCTGCTGACTCTCTCTTTCCTTTCAGATGGCGTCGCCCCTGTCGTGGGACAGCCCCAGGGGGTTCCCATCCCCCCTCCTGAATTTGGGCCCCCTCCATATGAGCCACCCTTGCAGCCGGGGTTCGTGCCCCCCCACATGCCCACAGACGGCTCTGGGCCCTACGTGCCGCCTGGTGAGTACCAGGAGGGGCTGCAGGAAGTAGAGGGTGGTGATGGGCACGGACTGCCCCCCTGGAAGCACACGTCTCCCGGGGAGCAGGATGGGGGGACACAATGGGGGTTGAAGCTGCCCTTTGGGGCTTGCAGCGAGGTTCCTCGGGATGGGGGACATGGTGCGTGCAGCAGGGTTGGCCCCAAGTCCATACCCAAGGTGGTGGTGTGGCAGCGGGGGAAAAACCCCGCCTGCAGCAACAATCTGACCTCTCCTGCCATGTACAAAGACATTCACCTGTGCCCATTTCTCATTCCCAGCAGGTTACTACCCGCCGCCAGGCCCTCACCCCTCCATGGGCTACTACCCTGCCCCGGGCCACTACCCTTCTCCCGGTGGCCACACAGCAACAGTGCTCGTCCCGTCAGGGGCTGCCACCCCTGCAGGGCGAGATCTTCCAGGGTGCCCCGGTGCAGACGGTGTGCCCCCACTGCCAGCAAGCCATCACCACCAAGATCACCTACGAGATCGGGTTCATGAGCTTCCTCCTTGGCTTCTTGTGCTGCTTTGTGGGGTAGGTGCTGCAAGCAGAGCCAGGGCCTCCCTGCTCCCAGCAGCCCCGTGGTGATGGTGGGCGCTCAGCTGTGGTCCTGGTGTCCCTGATGGGTGGCCCTGGCCAAACTGTTGGGCATGGCAGAGCCTCGGCACTGAGGTGTTACTGGGGCAGCAGATGGGTTCCTGGGGTGACAGTGCCTGGAGCCCTTGGCTTCTGCCAGGAGAGGGGAAGGTGCCACCTCCAAAGGCCTGTGTGCATCTCACCAGGCTGCCCCTTCCCTCTCAGGTGCACAACCACTCGCTAACCAAGCGCTTACCCTTGTAGCAGCAGTGCCCACCCCAAGGGGCAGGGGCTTTGTGCTGCCCTTTGCAGCACTGGGGATCACAGGTGGCTCCCAGGGGCAAGTGCTTCCTTCTTCTGCCCATGCCCCACAGCCACCTCCATGCGCGTTCCCCCACCCCGTGCCTGCAGGCTGTGCCCATGGGCTGCTCAGCTCACACCACGCTGCCTCTTCCCGTGCTCCAGGTGTGATCTCTGCTGCTGCCTGATCCCCTGCCTGTTTGATGACTTCAAGGATGTGACACACACGTGTCCCAACTGCAAGGCCTACATCTACACGTACAAGCGCATGTGCTAACAGCACCCCGGGA